TCGATTTCTTATTAAGCAATCGACAAGCAATCGATGTGTTCGATCGCTTGTGGATTGCTTAAATTTTTGTAAGGGTAATCACCTTTGCAAAACCTTCCTGTGGCTATGCATTGCTACGGTCTCAATAATTAGGGGTTTAACCGGTGCTCATCGAGGATAAATTGATCTTTCTTCGTACGTGCGTCGGATGTCTGTCGCGCGTTCGCTCATGCTCCACTGCTTCGGTTACTTGTGTTTACGCTACGGGCGCTTGATTACACGCTGGAATGTCGCTCTGGACACATGCGATTCACTGGGTTTCAGACAATTCCCCGCAGATCGGGGAACACTGCACGGCGCTAGTCGACGCCTGCATATCGGTATACTCGACCATCACAACGCAGCTGCTGCCGACGCCGGCAAAGAGCCACTACACGTTCAACCTTCGAGATCTGTCCAAGGTCATTCAGGGTGTACTGATGGCTGATGCCTCGAGGATAGAGGTACGAGTAGGGAAGACCGTAGAGACTGAGGTCTGGACTAGAGCGTGAAAGTAGGATTGACAGAATGGTTGGAAGAATGGGGGGGAGAGAGTGGCAGAATGGTGGGGTGAGATGATGAGAGGAAGTGTGGGTGTAGGGTGGGGAGATGGCGGGAGGGAACCGAGAGAAAACGAGCCTGCAAAAGAAAACTGATTCGACTCTTGAAGTAAGCACCATGCAGCCCTTATTACTTTCCAGGCTTTTATGTGCTATAGCGCGGTGATTTGCAGAAATTTGAGTTATACGTCTATGTCATTTATGTGTCAGCTTCCCAGGTTTCCAGACAGGAACATGTTTAGCATCAACAGCAAAAACATGAAAAGGCATATGCATTCTCGTTTGCCGTGGGCGTGATCACCGTTAACAAGCAACGTGGTAGTTTCACGTGGACATTTACTGATGATTTTACCTGCGTTTACCACTATTATTGAAGTATTAAGGTGTCAAACATTCGTGAAGCCCGTCTGCTTTTCTCGGTTTCTTATTACATGTGTAGCTATGTCCTTTGTAACAGCCACTCGCACCAGGTTAGACTAATGAAAGGGTGGATGTTATTTCCTTGTGCAAGTTTTCAATGACTATTATTAAATCCCACAAATAAACTATCGGCATCATATTAAAGAGTACTGTCGCGAACTTCCTCATGCTCATTACAGCTAATTACACGTAAAAGATGTTTATTTCTTTACGCAGAGCTATAAGTATTTTGTGAGTCTCTATTAGGTATAACCTGGAAGCCTTACTGTATCACATCAAAATAACATATATTATTTAAATTACAACTATTGGCACTCCCCAGAGAAATTAACAGACATAAACAAAATCACTAAATATACGAACAGCATATATTATATGCTACACCGTTGTGCACGGTCTCAGCCCGAATACATAATATCATACACATGTCTATTTATTCTCTTTACATAAAATAAAGACACGCGCAAAACGTGGGTGTTGCCGTTTTTCTGACAAGGAGTGGTTTTGGTGCAAAACAAATGCTTGCAATCAATTCAGAATCATTAAAAAAAACCTAGTTTGACCCTTCACAAGCTGCTTAAGGCAGAATGAAAAATTTTCAATTTTTCCCGGATAAGGTTCCGGGTACCCCAACTTTCAGCAGCTGTCACGGGTTGTCCTACGGGAGTTGAATTTAAATCTTTTAAAATATGTTAGTAGACACCTTTACAAACACAATGGTGGAAAAAGTTCTTGGTAAGGAATTTATTCCCAGATTTGCCAGGTATCTGATAATATTCCCTGACTATTTAATCGTTAATACTCGTGTTCTTTTACAACCTGGTCCAAACATTATTGGAAAACGTAAAAAAAATTCAATCTATAATCTGTTTTTAATATATATGTATGTGTGTGTGCGTGCGTGCGTGCGTGCGTGTGTGTGCTGTGCGTGCGTGCGTGCTTGTGGGTGCGTGCGTGTGTGCGTACGTGGGTGCGTGCGTGTGTGTGCGCGCGCGTGTGCGTGTGTGTGCGCGCGCGTGTGCGTGTGTG